GGACGTGCCCTACTGTAGCTTCCGGATGCCTCGAGCGCGCCGTCGCCTTCTTTTGTCTCCCGGTTGGTTATTGTCTCGCGGCCGCCCCGCATCGCCGCTTTATTTTTAAAATTAATTATGGGCCCGCCGCGCTCGACAAGCCTCGACAAGCGCGCTGCGTGGCCGCGATGTTTCAGCTTGGCTTTGCTCCTCTAGCCTCGTCTTGGTGGCTATTTGGTGATTATTTAGCTCTACAGGACGCGGTGAATTTTTTTCTGAAGTTGAGTTTCCCGTAAGTGTTTCGTGGCTATGTCTCTGTGGTATTTTTTGGCTAGTGTGTCTTCTCCGATTCACCAACAATCTTTTTTGTATGTGTGTGCTTTGTAAAGTTCTAGTTATTAAATGCCGGTAAGTTTTATTAATGACAAGCTAATGACTTTAGCCAGTTGAAAGAAATTGTAATTTCTGACATTTAAGTGAATAATCTATTATTTACTCATAATGTTATTTGAAATAAGGTGTTAATCGTTTTACCATTCAAATGTCTTCTTTTCAAATTACAAACGTTAGTCTTAAAAAGAGGTTTAAAATGTTTTTTTGATAAAAAGGAATTCTAATAACGGAAAACAAAAATGTATTTCACGAATAAATAAATGTGTATTTCACTAACGGCTTATTCCTTTACACCCAATCAACCGTATGTGTATCTTGTATTTTACGTTATAACAAAAAAGTACGTATATTACTATTATTAATAATATTAATAATAATAATAATAATAATAATATTAATAATAATGTTAATATTATTATTACTATTATTATTATTTTCATCACACCCGTCAAAATCGCAAAAGGGCAAGACTTTAGCACTTGCTTGCAGAAGAGACGTGTATTTCACTTTAACTTTATAGTATGCTATATTATTAGTGTGTTAAAATTCATATTCAAGTAATATTTTTCTTAAATTTACTTCGAGTTGGCTCTTTATATAATGGTAATGTTTTGTTTTTTGCAGGTGAGTTATTTTGCAAGTTGGTGTTTTCAAAGAAAAGAACTGAACTGTGAGTACACCGATAATCTTTATTTAATGATGTTAGTCATTTTTGGATTCAAGAGTATTGTGTATGCCATACATCGTGCTCACGATCTTAATCATGAAATTTATCATTTTGGTAATACTCTTTTTTTCTAGGTATATAATTATATGTAAAGAAATATAAATATGTGTAAAGGAATATATTTGAAAATGCGAATAAGGGAAATAAAGGCTGTTATTTATGTAATGAATATATTTTAAAAGTTGTATTACAGGTTCTGATAAATTAAAATTAAATTACACTTGACTCAGCTGCGTAAAAGTGAGATTTGAGTGGGAAATGTACATTTGAAGAACAGAAACTTCATCATGTATTGCAATGTTTATTAGTATCAGATCACACGACTCCAGGGTTGTTTACTCGCATCCATACATGCGGTTCAGCTTCAGAATGTCACCCTCGCTGAATCCAACACGCTGTCCAATGGTCGCGTTGGGGTCCTGAAAAAATTTCAATAAATTTATTAATTTAATTTTAGGATCATTTGCATTGTAGTGACTATTGAACGCCACCGCGAATAATATTTATTTAATACAATTTTCTAACTTTTATTATATTTTAATTAATATATTTTCTAATATTCATATTAACCATTCATATTAAAATTGATTTAACATGTTTTGTTGCATTATATGAATTTGCAATGAATGAAGCATTCAATGATTACAAATACAAAATGAAAATGCTAAATATGTGAAATTAAATTGGTTCCCACCAACGCCGAAAAAACCGGTAGGTGCCCATATCTAGGTATTCTTATTCGCAGATGACAATTATTTATTGGTCTAATTTAGGAAACTGTAATTTAATTATAGATGAATTCATATTTTTGAAAAATAGCTGAATGTTTATTTTTAAATATCTGAATTGATAATATAATATTTTCGAAACGTTTAAGAAACATTTTCTTAAATTTTAGCCACATGCATTCTTTCTTTCTCAGCAATGTTATTTTGAGTACGTGTAGAAATAATTAAATTTTAGAGTATAGGATGTTTAATGATGAAAGCGAAAACAAACAACACTACAATAATGTAGTAAAAAAACTATATTACCTTAGGTACGATAGTAGCCTGGCCGTTCTTGGAGAAGGACACAGCGCTATAGTGCATCACACTGCTGTAGTCGTACTGAACACCGAAGTCGGTGACAGTAGCAGTAGTGTACTTCTCAAAGTTGTTTTCATATCCTGCAGAAACGAAGATGCATATTATTTCAGTTTCTTTGTTACTGAAATCGCATTCTTTGTTAAAAATGTGTTTCTAAACTATATAAAGACACATAATATAATTTAATGCACATATTACAATTGAATCAAGTAGTTCATAACTATTTTTTTCGAAAGCATGAAAATAGACATTTTAAATTTGGCTACGTAGATTTAACACTGTCCAATTAATATTCGTATTCTAGATATTTGAATATTATACTTTTCTTTTAAATTAATTTAACGGAATGTTTATAAAAACGACTTTCTGTAACTAAATTTCGGTAGTTTATAAGTATTAGTCGTAATCAAACCGTGTAATACGTTCAGAATTAATATGAGAAATCGCTTTGAAATTTCATCTCGAATAATTTCGGGTTTGAAGAATTTCTCGTCTGCCAAGAATTCAACGCCAAACGAGGCCGTACCGCTCTGAATGTTGGACCACACAATGGTGACGAAGTCGTCCCGGTCGGCCGCGCTCTGCTGGTGGAAGAAGCCGGCTGCGTGCAGGAACTCGTGGACGATGGTCCCGGTGCTGAGGCAGGTGCCGGTCAGGCTGTGCTGAAGGTTCAGCTGCTGTTGCTGCAAAGAGAAGTCGAAATATGAGCATTCTTTGCCAGATTATTTTCCCCGCTGGGCGTGTGTACTGGAAAGTACTAGTTTGTATGTAAAATTAGTTGACGGGAGTGGTCAATATAGATAAAGAATCAATTAGATATGCCGTCGTTTCGAAATATTTAATTTCTTCATCAGGGCTAGAGCACAAAGACAAATGAACAATGCATGAGGACAAATCAACGCCCTCATGGATTCTTGATTTGTATTTGTACTGCAGCCCTGATGAAATTAAATATTTCGAAACGATGGCATAACTAATTGATTCTTCATTCATTTTGACTAATCTCGGAAACTAATTTTATATTTCATCGATAGTCGTGGTTTCTACAATGGCTCTACTAATTAAAATTAAACAACTTTATTGAAAGATATTTAAAAGTGTTTTCATGTGCTGTATCTTTGCCGTATTTTTGTCCTGTCTGAATTTGAAGTTATAGAATTAATGATTTGAATAGCACACATTCTTCATTCGTCATTACTTTGATTTGTTCAATGATTAAACTTTAATACCAATACACACACGAGATAACTAGCCTCTTACAACTACTGTAAAATTGCATTAGTCAATTTTTGTACTAAATTATTCAGTATTTTAAAACGAAACAGAGATAGTTATTACTTAAAATATTTTTTGAGAAACGGCGTAATTAAACCTTCGAAATTTCTTCGAATATTCCTCGTAAGCTATTTATGCTTTCAGTGTATTTCATTTCCATGTAATAAGCATTTTACCATTGGTAACTAATTACAATACTGCGATTTCTATTTTCTATTTCTCTGCTTCCTTGTTTTCCCCCTCAGACAGACGTGAAAAGTAATTTCCATATTCGCAGATCTGCTTCAATTCTGAACACGTCCCCGCTCAAATTATCCACTGTTCATGACGTTTGCCAGCACTATTTGGCAAATTGATTCCATCTCCTCTCGAACCTCCACTTCTGGTTTCGCCCTAATGCCTGATTTGTTCGTTGCGGGAATAACTTCGAACTCGCTCTCTCCGCGACCCCCTCCCCCCCTCTGTTCCCTTTCCACTCTCTCTCTCTCCCGCTCTCTCTTTCCTCCCCTGGTTCGATGGAGCTCTATCGCCTGCGCGATATTGAGTTACGACTAGTTCAACATACAGTAACGAAGTTAGCGGCTGCAACGTAGAATGGCGTTGTACGCGTACTCACCCCTCCTTGGCGGCCGACGTAGGACCAGCAGCCACTGTTTTCGCTGGTCACCAGAACGTAGTCCCGGTCTGCGGATGTTGCCTCGCGCACCTTCACGCACGTCTTGGTGTTGTACTCCTCGAGGGCGTTGCGGATTGTGGCCTGCACGGACGCTGACACGCCTGGGAGACAGATTCTCGGATTGGGGTCGGAGGCAGAAGTGCATTGACGAGGGTTTTTTCAGAACTCGATAAATGCGGAGAGACAGTCTCTCATAAAATGAATGTTGGGAATGCATTGAAAAGGGTTTTTTTTGCTAAATTCTTGTGATTTTGAACGCTTAAAGACACCGTTTTATATAGTATGTGTCGTGTTTTGATAAAACTCGATTTGGGGGATGACAAACAGGGTCAAAAGATTACTAAACGATGTATAACCTACGAGTAAGTGGTAATAACCTACGAGTATTGGATATCTTTTGCATTTATCGTCGTTTGAAAAACGCTCCTCAATTGTTTTTTTTTAGTCAGTTCTGATTTTAGTCGTCAGCTGAATCGCCAATCGCAATGAACTGATTCAGCATATTTTTGAATACATTTTTCTCCTAGTTTTGTATTAAAGGTTATGCAGATATCTTGAACTACCAATCCGATATTCTTCGGTATTGTAAGGAATGTTTCGTAGCTGACTTGTACTAAAGAAACGTAATTATATCGTCCAATTTTAAATTTTAAAAAATTAAATATTTCCCACTGAAAATTTACTGAAAATTTTGAAATAATCGTATCTATTATTGTTATAAAAATATCTAAGCATCAGTTTTTTTTGTTTGTAGAGCATATGAAATGAAACAGTCGTTGACAAATAGTATCGATAACAATGAGGTGCATTGTAAACAGTGTCGTGCATACTTACTGCTGGCAAACTTGTAAGGAATGGTTCTGCCAGCCCAGCGATAGGAAGAGTACGCTGAAGTGAGGCCGTTGCGAGCAATGGACTTGCGTTGCTGGCTGTTGAGGATGATGTCTCCCTCAAACTTTCCACTGCGTTCCCAGAGGGGGGATTCCTCCGCTGCAAACGAAATGGCGATTCACAAATAGTGGGATAGTGATTCTCATATTTGCGTATGAAAATGTATTTTAACGAATTTCACTATTTTGTTGTTGTTGTTTTTTAACAACTTGATCTTATAACGACCACTGTGATTGCTTTAACTGTAGGGGACAGTAGAAAGAACACGTAAGGACCACACTAAGACACACTATTATCCTTGTCCGAGGCGGGTATTCGAGCCAGCAACCTTTCAAGCCGAGGCAGCTACGGCCCTCCAGCATTAGCATCCTCGACTTTCCAGTCCGGTTTTCACTAGTTTTAGATTCGACCTATCTTCATAGTGGAATTTCACTCATAGACGTTGACTTAAGATCTTTAGTGTGAATTTTATTTCCACGATTTCAGAAACTTTTTGCATCATATCAGTTTAATTGCGTTTCTGTGTCTGTAACGCATCAACAACAGAATCAAGATGAGATAGTATGAACAAATTAAAGTTTTCATACAAATTATTATAATTATGTCTGTATACTCGCGGTACCTTATCTTCTAAACATTTACGTACTTCCTAAATATTTACAAATCTCATATATTAGACGATATTCAAAATAATTTAAAAAAACCAAATATTTTATTTCTGTCCGATGCCACTAAATCTCAGTTCATGGCTTGACGTAAACACTGCGTTTTCCCACTGCCGAAGTGTTCTACTCCACACATTCAATATTTCTTATGAAAATTACTACAGACATTTCATGAAAATATGACTATATTATTCAATAAATTTCGCAAATATTCTACAGAATATTTTCTATTATTATTTATGACAGTTCAATTTGATTAAAATACATAATTTAATTCTACGCTGCAGTTGGTATAAAGCATAAAACACCACATTTATGCTCATGCAAGACATCTTTCAAACACAAAAGTAAATTATTCCCATAATTTCGTATTTTTTCGATAACTTCAGTTAATAACAAATCGAATGAAATATTTGGCATTATAGTAGATGCTGTTTATCTCAGAACTTAATTCAATTAGTGATCAAATAGAAGGAAATATTGTGTGCAAACGTTCTTTATTTGTATATTAGGTTAAAATTTCTATCATAATGTGATTTAATTTGAAATTATTTCAAATCCCTGCCGTCATGACCAACGAATAAAATCCTTTGATTTGTAGGTATCTCGAGCTTATTGATAATGAATTAAAAGTTCAGATAAATGCATGATATTTCTATTAAAATAATTTTAAAACTGTTCAACTGTTTAAAATTATTTTAATAGACATATCCTGCATTGATCTGGGCTTTTAATTGCCTGTTGGATACCTAAAAGCAAAACACTTCACAACAGACAGTCATTATAGTAGTTTATGCAATTATTTTATAATGTTAAGCTCTATTGCATGAGTACATCTTTTGAAAACCAGCGACGTTCGGAGTGAGTATGGAGTGTACGAATGCAATGAATCAACATTATAAGCGAATTTCGTACGCTTTTTTTGTATATCAGTGTTATAAATTTATTCGAGAATCAAAGTTAATTTTGCGAAAGAACTTCCTGACGTCTCGCGTATTTGAAATTTGTGCGAGAAAAAGTTGGTCGGCTGCTCCGTTTACCTCTTACTCCCTAAGATTTTATTGCTGCGATTGGCTGAGTGTGTGATGACGTAATCATTTGTGCCGTAAAATGCTAATACGCCATCATTTGTCCCGTAAAATTCCCGATTATGAACGTTTTCGTGCAATAGAGAAGGTCGTTTATACTGCTGGTATACAAAAAATATTTATTTGCACAAAAACGTAATATACTGCGCTTCAATACCTACCTCCTGGGAACAAAGGCAAGGACAGCGCCCCTGCGACTGCGAGAAGAACAATCAGAAGAGTCTTCATGGTTCTCAGAACTGAGAAGAGTGCTCAGGCTGCAGACCGGCACCTTTTTATATGTTTACCTTCTTATCATTTCAAAGGTCCTTCTGAAGAGGCGTTATTGGGGTAGCCCCACTTGAGTCTTGGGTTCCGGTGGATTTTTTGCTGTATCACACGCCGGAATCAAAATCACGCGTATCTTAATACGTTCGCCATATCTTAAAATAAACTCACGTCAAGTGTTTCTATCGCGTGGTCCGATCTTTCCATTATGTTTTACACGAAAGATACCGTTTCGAAACTCAGCATATTCGATTTGTCGTGACGATGCTCACGTGGGAGTAAAATCCTAATGAGCTCCCCATTGTCAATACTGTCGCATTCTTCATAAGCTTCCCTCCATTGGCTCTTTATGATACAAATGATTTACTTGGGGGAATCATGTTGTATGGCGTAATGATCATGTAAATACATAACATCATGAACATACAGTAATCAAGGTTGTTCAGTCTGTCGCATGGATAATTTCTATGGGTATGAAATATTTTTTTTGTTTTGTGCTATTACTTCAATCTATTTAACATTGAATTGAACATTGAGTTAATAATTATAGGTTTATCAGAAGATAATTTCAAGTTCTAAAAACGAAAATGTCTTCAACACAAACGTATGATATTAACACTGTTGTCTATTTTACATTCCCATGCTGCAGAGAAAGTATTGCAATAATGCAAAAAATCAGTGAAGATATTGATGGGTTTTGGGGCTTCTTTATTTTTTTTCTTTCTTTGAACGGCTGTTCAGGTGTTTGTCCAACCTACCATCTATGTACATCTCTTGAGCCTGCGCGTAATACTGTATTTTCAAACAATAAGCTGTTCTACGGTGTATTTGTCGTACATCATGTCTCTTTGGGGTGGGGACGGAACATTTTACGTCCGTGGATACTTTACGTGAAGTTCCTAAGAAAAATTTTGAAATGTTCTCAAAACAGCACCACATTTTTTATGTTTGCTCGAATTTACCAAAGAACGCTTGTAAAAATGACCCATATCTTATCAGTGTATTCGTTTAAATTAAACGAAGTGCATTTTAACTGTACATGAAGGAGATGAATAGTCGTGTACAGTACGTGTGGGAGCAAATGAACCGGTAAGCGAATCATACAACGTGATTATTCTGACATGTTGTAGACGAAAATTCTGTTGTTAACAAAATGTGATAACCGGAAAGGGAGTCTTCCTTGTACTAAAAATACAATTTTTTCTGTGAAAACGAGCAATAGATTTGATATAATAGTCCTGTCGCCAGAATAAACAATTCTCCCATTTCTTTTTCAACTAGCGAAATGAGAACTCACTATCATGTGCGTGGATAATATATGGTATTTAAAAAGTAGGGACATCATCGTTAATAAAATATCCTATTCTGTTGTAATGTAAACCTGTGATGGCCTTCCTAAGTTTTACTCTAACCTCACATTCAGAGATTTCACATCATGTGATGAAACTACGATCGATTGCAATTCTCAGAACAAAATAATAAAATTACAACGGCAGATAAGAGTTTATTCTTTTAATTTGAAGATATTAATAAAATTTACCCTTTGAAAACGGTTAATAATGGCAAGCGGTAAGACATCTGGGACCAACTACCTGTCATTTAAAGAAAAATAGTAGAATTTAGTTGAGTAAACAACTTAAAGTTCTATGTAAACGAAAACCTTTAGTGTTTTATAGACTAGCTGAAGTTTAGATTGTTTGATACATTCACCAACTTCAGATTGTTTGAGTCTTGTGATATTCAATAAATATATACATAGACCTACATTAGATTAAGAAAAATGTAGCGAAGTTTCTTTTGCATTCATAAATTCCTAGAATTTTTGCAAGATGTGAGTTGAAAAATAAATCGTACGAATAAAGCATTTCGTAGAAAACGTGAGGAAATTATCGGTAGAAGTATCATTTGATTTATAAGTCCTCCAACGGGTATCACTCTTTTGACCCATCTTTTCCCTGTGTATCTCTGCAGTTTTCTAATTCAAGTTCTTTATTATCTGATGCATTAACCTTATCGCTTGATATGCGAAGTAAGGTGCCTTAATGAAACTTACTTTTTCAAACAAGGGGATTGAATACTGCGTAAATTAGATAATAGTTTTAGAGTGTCACAAAGTTTACCATTCGCATATAAATATCTTAAATAATGTCTGTAAATTATTATATGAAGACATCAGGGCATTCATATTATTTAATAAATACTTTATTATGTTGTATACTTATGGATACATTGAGAATTCCTACAAGATAAACGAAATGGTGTATTTTGAGATATATTTCGCAGTATTCTTCTTTCTATTTCCTTATTGTATTTGTACGTTCCTATTACGTTGTTTGTACGTTATAATCCACTTGGCTAGCAATGTTTGTCTTTTCCTGTATTTGCCTCTATTGAATTTTGTCTTTTGACGTCTGCCCCTCTTTCGAACTGTCTCAGAACAGTTTTCTTGCAAATGATTTGTTGAACTTCATCAAATATCAACATTCTCAACAAATCATGTTAAAGTTTTCTCTAATAGAACTAGTTTTCTTCGGTTTCGTTGCACACAATAACTCTTTCTTTACTTTTTTAATTCGAATTTCTGAAGTTTTCGTTTTTTCACTGGTAGGAAAACCCATTCATGTACAATAATTCTGTCAATATGCAAGAAGTTCTCTGTCCTTCGTCTTCTCTTATTGGCATTTGTCGCTAATCTTAAAAGTGATCGCAGAAATTTTTCTCAGGAATAAATACAGCTTTCTTACAGTTGTACAGGGTGTTTCGCATGGGTCTGTTCTTGGACCGACGTCCTTTAATAATTATGCAGCGGATATTCGTAAGCTTCATACATATACAATAATACCTTACTCTGACGACTCGCAGTGTGTCCTTTGATGCTTCTGGTACAGCAAAGGCAGTTTTGAAGGCTGATTTGTTATTGAACCATTGTTGAAGTGACACCGAATCAGTTGATCTACTGCTTATGGTGAGGTTTTAAATGCTGCAGATACTATTCTTATTGTTGATCCAATAAAGCATTTCGTTGTTGACAGAGGCTTAGCTTTAACTATTGATAACACCTGTTGTTGAAGAAATTCGATATCTAAGTTTTATTCTCAAATCTGGATACATCTTTGAGCAAAGTGACTCTAAGCTACACAGTTCATTTTATGGGAAATTGAGACTTTATTTTCAAATTTTAGAATTCTGTCAACTAAACTGAAATTAATTTTGACCAATACCTTACTTTTACCACTTATTGAACTGACGTAGCCTCTGCGACCTAATTTGTAATACTGTTTTTCACCATTATGATACACCATTAATGTAATGGTAAAATAATATGTTATAAAAATACGTTTTAAGAGACTATAACCGATGATCCATCCGATCCACCCCCTTTCTGTTATCTTCTACGATGCCTGACGAATTTCCATGTCATGCAGTTCTTATCGACAAAGTTGTCTTGTAATAGAAGTATCGAGATACAACAAAGCTTATTTTAGATGTTTTTCATGTTTAACAGTTAAATGTCTTGATGAATTCCTGAACAATCACTTAATCTCAAGTTGAAATCAGAAGCAGCGGCATCAGATGTTTGCCTCATTCGTTAAATCTAAATTTTAATTTGAGAATCTCTTTTATGGAATAGTAAGAAGAGTCTTGTTATTAAAAGTGCTATAAAATGACTCCAGAAAGAGGCCATATAAGAATTAACCTTTTGTGCCCTAACATACAAACAGTGGTCCAATTATTAGGGACAGTACTATGTTTATGTAATTTTTAGTTTAAATGTTTTTCTTTGTTCAAATAATTGGGTTTTGATAAGATTTATAGTATTAATGTTATTTCTATTGGTTTTAATAAGTTACAACACTATGCTTGCGTTATTAAAAAAGTTATCTTACTTCTTATTCGGTTGAAGTTTGTTAAAAACTGCTGATGAACTGAGGATATGCACATAATTGTTTTAGTTATTTTTTCCTTTCCAAAATAATCAAAACGTAAGTATTGTTAGTATTACTGCATTACTTTAACTGAATTTTATGTGTGAATTTCATTTTAATTCACGATGTAACGTCACAACCTCGAAGTTTTAATTTTTTTAAATGGTAAGGCGGCTGATACGTCTCCAAAGAAAATTAAAGAAAAACAAAAATTATTGCTTCACTCAACACATTCATCGAGATATATAGCAACAATTGTAGTTTTTTAAAAAATTGTCGTTAGCGGAATAAAGATAAAAATTGATCAGATGAAATCGCTAGAAGCAGTGGGTAAATATCGCAAAAAAAATCACCAGTCTTCGTACCAATCGTAGAATCAGGGATATCTACTCATAAATCGTTAAAAGAGTGTTACCCGTCTGACTACGATGATAAACGCGAAGTGAGCAATAGTTCCCACAAAGAACAGACCACAGAAGGTTACCGGAAGCGAGCCTGATTGGCCGTCTGCATATCAAAAAAAACATTACCCGCCCAGGCCATGAAAAAGGAGCGTCTGCAATGGGCCAGACAACACTCAAATGTGACTGTTTCAGACTGAAGTCGAGTAATAGAACTTTTCAATTTATTTAAAGCGCTAGTGGATTTTATCAATATTGATTTTTGTAATATTTCACAGGTATGCTTCGTTGACGAATCAACGTTTTAGATTTTGGTCCACTAGAGTTCGTTTTTCCGACTTCAAACTTCCTTATGAAGAGGGTTAAACACCTGAATAGTGTCATGAAAGTTAGCGATCTCAGTGAAGGGTATACAGGGCGCCTACACATCGTACAAGGTCCTATGAGGCATGACTAGTACAAACAAGTACTAGAAACTCTTCTACTGCCACAACTCGAAGTCCATAGAATTGTTCCTTGGTGATTAAGATTACATTTTATATGCAATTCATCACCATGCCACAAAGTTACTGCATTCCTGATACAAAAATATTATCGGTTTGCCCTGACGGGGGAACTCGGCAGCCATGAGACA